ATAGAATAGAATAGAATAGAATAGAATAGAATAGAATAGAATGGTATGGAATGGAATGGAATATGAAATGGAATAAAGAATAGAGTACAGTAGAGTAGAATAGAATAGAATAAACAGATTTGGAAGGGACCTTGGAGGTCTTCTAGTCTAACCCCCTGCTTAGGCAGGAAACCCTCCACCACTTCAGACAAATGGTTATCCAACATCTTCTTAAAAACTTCTCGTGTTGGAGCATTCACAATTTCTTAATGAAAGTTGTTCCACTGATTAATTAATTGTCAGGAAATTTCTCATTAGTTCTAGGTGGTTTCTCTCCTTGATTAGTTTCTATCCATTGCTTCTTGTTCTGCCTCCAGGTGCTTTGGAGAATAGTTTGACTATACAATCTCTGATCTCCATGTAGGACTTAATGTCCCGAAGTGTTCCAATTGCACAGCAAAGATTATAGCAATAGCACTTAGATGTATACACCACTTTACTTTCTCTAAACAGTTTACAGAGTCAGCCTCTTGCCCCTAACAATCTGGGTCCTCATTTTACCCACCTCAGAAGGATGGAAGGCATGAGTCAACCTTGAGCCTGGTGAGATTCAAACTGCCAAATTGCAGGCAGCTGGCAGGCAGCAGAAGTAGCCTGCAGTACTGCATTCTAACCACTGCACTGTCCCGGCTCATAATCATCATTTCTGTGATTCAATTTCCTTTTCCAAGAATTCTTAAAATATTTGTCAATAGGTTTTGATTGAAGATCTCTAAAATGCCATAGTGATATTCCATCTGGAAAAATCATTTCAACGGGTGTGAATGTTGAATTTAATGAGATATTATCCTTACACCTAGGAAGTGATTAGTTGATGGGGAAAAAAAAAACATACAGTATAAACAAGGTCTTAAGTACTAAGGAGCCATAAGCCAACATAAAACTTAATTTTGGAAGCGATTGCAAACCTTATGTATGTGTTAAAACTGTATCCTTGTTGTCTAAATATAAACCTTTAAAAGCGTTTAACATTTCAACCTAAATTAAAGCAGTTACTGATTGCTTTTTGAAATAACTTGGGAGTTCAAGATCTGATTTGTGAAAAGTGTATGTTGGAGGTATTGATTCAAGAAATCCTTTGCTGGATCACCACTTTCATATGGAGGCAATATGGATCATTTGGAGACTGATACTATTAGTGTTCCCATTACAAAGATAAGGAACCACTTTATGAACTGATCATTAATCCAAGACTGAAAATCTAATGTAACACTATCTTTCCATTATAAATTAGATTTATCCCCTTTCAGATCTCCATGCCTGAAAGTTCTTTCCTTAATTATTATTATTTATTATTTATTCATACTTCAGCATCTAAAGCATATTAGCAAACACAGATTTTAAATCAAAATGGAATAGTCATGGACAGGTTTATTTAGCTTTTAATGATGCTAAAGTTCTGAAATAAACTACTCAATGAAAGTCTTAATTGAATATAGAATAGAATAAAGGAGTTNCAGAGGTGCAAAGACAAAGGATGATCTTGGCTTTCTAGAAAGGATTTTGTTATGGCTACATATCATCTAACTCCACACAATCTCCCCCTCCTATTTTCCCACAATAGAAAATGCATAGTAGAATAATAGAACGTGTGGCAGGCCAAAGATCCAAAAGAAAAGATGGCTGCAGGCCTGACACTTGTGAGATTTTGATTTGGATTAGGATAGTATGAAGCAGCCATAATGCTATTTTTTAAATTAACAATATAAGCTATTCATCACTGAATTAAAGGGCCATGCTTTTAATGTGTGTGTGTGTGTGGAGGGGGGGGATTTTAGAACAAAGCTACTGGCATTTCCCAATTTACCTATTCTTTTCATGATGTATTTCTGTACCTCTAGGTGGTCGTGTCTATCCTGTGTCAGTGCCATACTCTAGTGCTCAGAGCACAAGCAAGACCAGTGTGACTTTATCACTTGTGATGCCTTCTCAAGGTCAGATGGTCAATGGTGCCCACAGTAGCTCTACGTTGGATGAAGTCACACCCACTCTTACCAAGTAAATGTTCCCTGTTAAGTTTTATTCCCTATTACCCTTTATTCCTGATCTCCATGGAATACTGGATTTGTTACATTTTTTTCTTCTTCTAGATGCTGCTTAATGTAAACTTCCAAGCCCTGTGCTGTTCAACATTTTTGTTAATGACCTCAAATTGACCTCTCAAAGAATTGAGAGAATATTACATAATTTTCCAGTGACACAAAACTAGAAATGGCTAACACAAAAGAAAAAGAGAAGATTCCAAAGACAAGCTTAGACACGCTTGAACAAGTGGCCAAAACGAACAAGGGAGAAATTAATCCTGCATGGGGGGGAAGGAATGAAGGTCACAGGCATGGGATTAGGGAAAACCTGGCTTGTTGTGACACACATGAAAAGAGTCCAGAGTGTTTCATCAGCTAAAAACTGATAAAAATTGATACATAACCTTGTGTCAGCAAGGACAGTGACAATGTTAAATCTAAAAAGCCTTTCAGAATCTAAAACTTCTTTCCTAGGGTCTCCAAACAAGTTAAGTGGGACATCTTGCTCAATTATCACAATCCCAGTTCTCCCTATTATGGTTGTTAAGTGATTGTGCAGAGGGGTCTTGGGGATGGGGTAAACTTTGAGAGGCCCCACTGTAAATTACCTTTGCTATGTCATTTGTGAAGATTGAATGAATGATTGCTTTTCTTTCTCTCTCTCTCTCTCTCCCCCCCCCCCACTTCATGGTTTACCTACAGTCAAAGTCCTACTGTGACTCTTCAGTCTACTAACACTCATACCCAGAGTAGCAGCTCAAGCTCAGATGGAGGCCTTTTCCGTTCTCGTCCTTCTCATTCTCTCAGGCCGGATGAAGATGGGCGCGTTGAATCCTATGTAGACTTTGCAGAGTTTTACCGCCTTTGGAATATGGACCACAGTGAACAGGGGATACTCACTGTGTAACAATGCATGGAGAGTAACCCCTGTGAAGTCCCATCAGACAGTAGGTTGCAATTCATCTCTTGGCTGACAACATTTTTCTACAAAGCATGATCTTTTGGAGACTTCGGGACAAATTGCTAATGTGATGATTCTCATCAACTTGTTGAGCATATTTACTCCTATTGAATTCTTTTCTAATGGTCTCTTCCACTGTGAAATCTTGTGGCATTCGAGAGGGTTGCAAACCCTTTTACTGCATGGCTGTAGAAGAAGAAGAATAGTCAGCAGCCAGACTCCTCTTATGGATAGGTCCACAGCAAGTACCTGTCAAGAGTGTGTGTGTATGTATATATGTATGTGTGTGCATCTTGTTGAAGGCATAAATCTGGGAATACTTATGATATCAAAGATACCTCTGATTTGCAAAATAAATGCTAACTTATAGTTACTACTATAGGTTTCCTCCTGCTGTGAATCCATCTGGAGGGTTCTGGGTTGGGGAATCACTTTAGAGGCCTGGCAGCCTCACCTTTTGGCTCCAGGGATCCCTTCCCCTTTCTGAATTTTGAGGGCAGGGCTTGTGAGCCCTCGCCCCACCCCTGGTTGCCACAAGGACGAGGTTTCCGACAACACAGGGCGGGAGGAAAAACAAGTCCCATTTGAAAGTAGTCCAATCTCCTGGCTAAGTGGCACTGCTTGAAGGCACCGGCGGAGCGGTTTCTTGGCTGCAGGCAACGCCTGTCTCCCTCCATGCCGGGACCTTGGTGTGAGGGAGGCATGTGCGCGAGGCAGCTGACAGGCGGCTGGTCCTGAGGTGCCCCAACGGATCAGCCCCGCTGAATGGGATGTTCAAGAACACGTTCCAGAGCAGCTCCAGCTGTAGAACTCCTAAGGAACAAATACCGTCAAGGTTTTAATCATTTTAGAGCTTCAAAAACAGATATCTTTCAAAAGAATAGATGACATTCACATACATTATCTCAAATACTGATCCACTAATTTTGCTGAAGTATAATGGAAACGAAAGAACCTGCCATTTCAACTTGTGATCCATTGTAAAAAAAATGGGGCAGGGGGTTTGGTTTTGTACATCATGACAATCTAAATATGAGCAAATCATAGGTTATTGTGAAATATATATATGAGCCAAGCCACTGACTCATCAATAGCTGTCCTAAGAATCATTAGAGGGTTCAGGCAATGGTTCAGAAAAGACTAACCTTTTGGCACCCTGGTGAAAAGGACAACACAGTTCAAATCAAATTAAGTTTATTACAGTCAAAGACCAGAGACAAAAACAAATAAAAACACTCAAGGAATATCCAGTTAAAAATTCTAGAATAAAATAATAAATAACAGATAAAATCTATATTAAAATCACAATTTGGCATCCAATCTATGCGATACACATGGCCTAATTATACTATAAAATCAATCCTTAAATTTAATAGTCATTAAGTACTAAAATGCAAAAGTGTAGTAATGCGAAAGGGGTTGCTACATTAGTTGTGGAACATAGCTATGGTGGATTAATCATGTTTCCGCCGAATCCTGAGTACTGCTGTGCAGAATCTAGCCTTCTGCGCTGTAATCACAGTCTGTTCGTCCTTAAGCAGCCATTGGAGATAATCCATGTTGGAACAGCCAGGATACCTATTGATTATTGGGAGGATATGATTTTCCCCTAATATTTCTATAGAAAGAGCATCGAAGGAATATGTGCCCAATGGTCTCCCCTTTTCCTGAGCCACTGGAGCAGAGTCTTTCCATCAATGGTATCTTTTTATACTTGCTGTACGAGACAGCCAATGGAAGCACATGGCACTGTGCGAGTGACAATGCTTTCCAGTGGTTCGTCGTCTCCAATTGGTTGAGATAACTGGCGGGAATAACAACATATCTAATAGAACTCTGGAGCCACAAACAACGGAGCTTTCCCTAAGTCTGCTTGCCTCTCGATGTCCTCTACCCTTTGTTGCAAGGTTCGTTTTGCTTGGTCATAGTCTAACTTGAGTATTGAGGCTGGAGAGAAGCCTAGTTTGGCAAGGTTGGATTCGACAGCCTTGATCCATGAAGAGGAGAATTTGTCTTGGAGGATTAATGGAGCCTTGTGGGAAGAAATTAAGCTTTAGCCAAAGGTTTAAAGAAGCTTATACAGATTCTTGCTTTGACTTTTGTCAATCATCTCTCCGGGCGCAGAAGTGCATTTGAGACACAAGGCGTCATCTGGAGAATTGCTGTAATAAATTTTGATTGAATTCTTTCCAAAGGTTTGAAACATGAGGCTGAGAGTCTGACAATCCCATAAAGGACCTTGTGCTAGCGATTTGGCCAAAAAACTTAATTGCAGCAGGAACATAGTATCTTCCCTTTCTGCAGAAACATTTGAAAATGGCCTTTGCTGATCTTTGGCCAAAGGCAACCGCATATTCTCTTATGTGCTTTTCTTGAGCCAGTGGCATGGATGACACCCTAGGTACTTAAAGGTGGTTACTTGCTCTATATCATAATCATTAAGATTACATGAGCCGAGTTTTAGCTTTTTTGCAAAGGACATAATCTTAGTTTTCTGATAATTTATGTCCAGTTTATTGCAAATACAATACTAGAGAAGGGCTCGCAAGGCTTTTTAAAGTCTACAGGTGCCCTGAAAGTGAAATTCAAATACTTTGGCCACCTAATGAGAAGGAAGGACTCACTGGAGAAGAGCCCAAATGCTGGGAAAGATGAAGGGCAAAAGAAGAAAGGGACAACAGAGAATGAGGTGGCTGGATGGAGTCACTGAAGCAGTAGGTGTGAGCTTAAATCGACTCCAAAGGATGGTAGAGGACAGGAAGGCCTGGAGGAATGTTGTCCATGGGGTCCCGATGGGTCAGGCACGACTTTGCAACTAACAACAATAAGGTGTCCTGGAGAGGATCACAGCAGCATCTGCATTGAGCAGCAGGGTGATACTTCGATCACCTATTTTGGGGGATGGTAACTTGGTTTATTTATCGTTTTACCGTGTCATTTATATAAAAGTTGAAAAGCAAGGGAGCCAAAATGCACCCCTCTTAACCCCCTTTTGAGTTTTGACCAACCTCAAGAGTGACCCTTGTTTGTAACATCTAATCTTGAGGGATGTTTCAGTATGTAAGGCAGGTAACAAATAGAGAAGCCTATATCAATTGAAGTGGCTTCCAGCTTCTCACACAGCTCAGTCCTGGTAACCATATCAAAAGCTGCCTTGAAATCTACAAAAGTGGCCTATAATGATACAGATCTATTTCATACATATTTTTCAATCAAATGATGGAGAATTAAGCACTGATTTCCTTTTAAAGTGTGCCATTGTGTACACAGGAAAGTGACAAGATTCTCTTCTCTCTTATAAGTGATCCTTGGGTTATGACCATGCATTCAGTAACTGTTCAGTTATGATAGTGCTGGGCAAATGATACTTAATGATGGGTTATCATAATTCTGACTGTTGCAGCATTCCCACAGTCACATGATCACAATTTCCAACATTCTCTGCCAGCTCCTGTAAGCAAAGTCAATGGGGAAGCTGGAAGGAAGTTAGTTGTCACATGAGGTCCTTGCTTCATGACTTATGCAGCCCTTGCTAATGACAGCAACCCAGATTGCTGGAATTGCCAGAGCTCAGCAATGTGGTCATGTGATGTCACACTTAAAAACCAAATCACTATGCAATGGCAATTTCTGTCCAAATTACCATCATAAACCAAGGAATATGTAAATGATTTCTTTCCATTTAAATTTAGAGCAGTCTGAGAGTAGAAGAATAGGAAGTATAGATCTGGATATCACTGAGTTCCCCATAGATATCTGGGAGATTCCTTTGCATTTCTCTAAGGAATTAATATCTAAAATATACTGTAGAAACATTGTTAACAAGGAACAAAGCCTTCTAAATGGCATTGCAATAATGTTACAGAGGTAATAATATCTACATTTTAAAAAAAATTTAATTTCTTTAAAGTCACTAGTCAATTTAAATGATTCATTGAGATATAGGAAGATAAGGATCTTAGCTTTACATAATTTACTTTCCCAAATTAGTAACTGCCATAAAAAAAAAATAATTTAGGATTATTGGAATAGCTACCAAAATTTTTTGATGAAATTTCTTCAAGGGCACTGTAATATGCAGTATGTGGCAATAATAATAGCCAATCCTTGTGTTAACAAAGCAAGAATAATGAGGCCAAACATATCATTCCGTATGATAACCAGAGGCACATCTTGCTTAAGAGGTTATATGGACATTAGTGAAACGTCGTAACCCCACCTCACAAAGTGGAGAAATTAGAGAAAACGGGATTACAAGATAATAGATATACAATGAGGAATATTGGCTATTTACGTAGCACTCCTGTGGCACTAGGGGTTGCTGGTGCCATTACATTCCTTTTGCTGTGTATGTCTGCTCACTTTTGTAATCCCTTTCTTTTTTTACTTTTGTTAAAGTTTTAGTTTTACTAAGTTTATTATAGCATAAATTTCAATGAAAGGTTTTTTTTAAAAAGGAAGGGGGAAATACAGGATGAGAAAAGAAAAGTGAAAGGTGTTGAATTCTGACTCTTTCCAACACAGTAAAATACTAATATATCTACAACCTCAAATTTTTACATTATCTATAATTATAACAAGCCAGTTCTGTAAGTTCACAATTATTAAATCTTCAAACTAAATTCTAAATTCCATTCTTTTTCCATTTCAAGCAATATTCTAATAGAAAGAAGAAATAAAATACCTTAGTTTAAAATAGTTTACATCACCATTTTCTTAACCAAATCTATTTTTCCATATTGTGGGAAATAATAATGTATTTGTATGTATACATTAATTTTTCTAAACTATCAGTTTTATTAATGAAAATCACTCTGCTTTTTCAAATTCTTTAACCTTAAAAGGAAATCCCATTCATTTTGAGACTAAACATTTCCTAAAAAAATTCATATTTATTACTAAAATCAATTAATGCATCTTTTTAAACTTCCTTTTAACATTCATACTTTCAAATTCACTTTTAATAATATTTTGCAAATTTTAAGAATTACTCAGGCACTATATATATAAAAAAGAAAAGACCAAATTTTTTCTTTCCCTCTTCCTCTTGAACATAAATACTTCCCAAATTTAATTTCACTAATCATTTTCAAACCCACATTTATGAGAAAACAATCCATTGGAACTATATTTTAATTACATATATCAAACCAATAGAAAATAGTTTGACATATGCCAATTAATTTACTGAATTAATTTACTAATTTAAAATCTAACTTAAATTTACTACATTAATTTAATAATGCCAATTATTTGCTAAATTTAAGTCATTCCCTCTAGCTTGTCTTAATAAAATAAAATGTCTATTAAGCAAATATAAACTTTTTTCTCACGAGATTCTCTAATATGACTTAAAACTAATATGTCAATATTGTC